TGGTCTGAGAAAGGTCAATAGAAAGGCAGAACACACAGCCACAAAATTCTGCTTTCTTTTCATATCTTTCTTCCACACACATTTAATAGACGGAGCATATTTTTCTCAGGGAAGGCGGGGGAGGGGGGGAATGAATGACAACATGTACAGAGTAAATCCCCATTGTCCTATGTGGAGGAGAAAGGTATCTGAGCAGACATTTTCAGCTGTGAATGGAATACGATTTGCATAAATCATAAATGGAGCAGAGCTATTGTTGTTTCTATATTGCACAGCCTATATTTGATGACTTTTTAAAACACACACACACTTTGGTTTAAGACCAGAGTCAATGCTATCTCATGTTGGCTCCAGCGCCACAAAGTTGGGAAACTGGAAGCCAAGGATGATGCCATAACAGGTTGTGGCGATCATACACAGGGCCCCCGGACGTTTCACGGTCTATTGACCCTGTGCCACCACTGCGATTGCTTTTTTCGCTGCCACCACCCCGTATCTCATGGGGACACACAGAGTCCAGTCAGTTGTTAACATAAACAAATAATCAAGCTTATTTTTACATGCAGGAACAAGCTTATGGTTTCAATTAATTTTTCTCTTGTCAGTTTCTTATTCTTAGTTCCTAACAATTCCAAACTGATTATTCCAGCTATCTATCTGACTCCACCTAACAATTCCTCTCACTCTCTCACAATACAACTCTACCAACCCACACCTAAACCTCCCTCTTCCTTCTTCAACTCCCAAACCTCAACTCTCAACTCCCAAACCAAACTGACTTTCAAAACCTCCCACTCTAACTTTTATTCCCCCCTTGCATTCTCACTGGCCAATCACATCACACCTATTTTAACCCTTTCCTTATGACCCATCCTAGGAGGCAAACACCACACAGGTGTACTCAGAGATCAGCAATGGTGTTGTGCAATGTCATAAAGTATGCTTGCTTACAACTTACCCTCCATGCACTCACACTTTTGCTTGGTTTTTCAGGCCTAGATCTAGATGGGGTTGGGGTTGGGGATGAAGGACCTGGGGCCAGCAAAGATACCCAGTGCTGTTCTGGTCCTATATTGCCTTATGAAGCCTCTGAGCCTTACTTCATCACTAGAGGAATCCTCCTTTGTGTTGACCCATGACTGTTTGCTGCTTACATCAGTAGCTGGCAGAATGGGTTAAACAGTGGGAGATGGGGAAGTGTGGCTCCCCTGATGTAGTGCCTCTTTAACTTTTTCTCTCTCAAAGTATCATTTCTGAAGATGAGATGCCCTCTTATTTCCCCTCCTGCAAAATCTATGGGAAATTATCGTTGCATGGTCTGTAAATACCAGACATTATAAAACTTTCCTAAGCAACTGGGCTATTATTATCAAGGTAAATCAATGCCGAACTTGCATATCACATTTTGATACCATGGCAATTGCAGATTTAAAAGGCACATCTGGAATAGTTAATTGTGCAAAGTTCACAGGCATGCATTCATCCATTGTTAATAAACCATTTATTGAAGGAGCTCTTATGGGTTTGTCTACTTTTTATTAGCTACTAGAAAATGGCCATAATTCTGATGGGGGAATGGGTTCAGAAGGAAGGGTCAAGAGGAGGAGGTAGGCGGAAAGGCAGGCAGGTAGGCAGACAGGCAGGCAGGCAGACAGATAGAAAAACAGATAGATAGATACATCCACACGCACACATGCACATCCATGCATTCTAGGTGAAGCACATGGTGACTGTGGCTTTGCATATTTCACTGGTAGCACTGCACCTTTTGAAAGGACTGCTGCTTCATATTGTATAACTTATTTTATTGCCTTCTTTTCACATGAATGGTTTTTAAAATTGGAAATGCTGATTTGTAAGCTGCCTTAAATTTTATGAGTATAAGTGCATCCATTAATTATTGCGGGGACCCCACAATGCCCCTCGGTGTGGTGTGCCACATAATTCTACCCCTGCCTGCCCACACATCTTCAGTGAAAAGTGGCATCACCTAGTCTTAGGGAACAATATCCTTCCAGGGCAACAATGTCCACACAGTTCAGGATGGCTATCCCAGCTTGTTGTCTCCACTGCTAGGCAGGCAGTCGTGCTGGGCAGAGCTTAGTTTAAAAATAAAAAGGATGACTTGCTGAAATCAGACAGGCTTGCCAAGAAGCTGGAGGATATGGTTGTGCTGAGAGTTCAAGGATTTGTGGTTGACTATATCTGACAGATACACACAGACATGGGCTCCGGGGAATCACCACATCATGCAATGGAGGCACAGATAGGGGTTATGAGGTCTAATATCTCAGACTGAGTCAAGCCATATATGCCTCCAGAAGCATTTGAGTCTTGTGCAGCCCCATCCTTTGCTTGTATACTCAGAAACGAGCCCCAGTGAGATCAGTACATAGGATCACATTATAAGTCTGCAATCCTATGCATGTATGCTCAGAAGTCCATCCTATTGTGCTTAATGTGCTTTGTATCGAATAAGCAAGTTTATAATTGCAGCCTTAGGATCTTTGAAAGGCAAAGATCAAGCAAAGCAAAAAAGAGCAGTCATGTTGGCAGAGCTGATCTGTATACATGCTAAACAGAGAAATTATTTAGGTCAAATTCCATGATGTTACCAAATAATGTTAATACAGTGATACCTCAGGTTAAGAACTTAATTTGTTCCAGAGGTCTGTTCTTAACCTGAAACTGTTCTTAACCTGGAGCACCACTTTAGCTAATGGGGCCTCCCGCTGCCACCGCACCGCTCTGGCTCGATTTCTGTTCTCATCCTGAAGCAAAGTTCTTAACCCGAGGTACTATTTCTGGGTTAGTGGAGTCTGTAACCTGAAGCGTATGTAACCTGAAGCGTATGTAACCCGAGGTACCACTGTATAAGGCTTAGTTTATTGATATCTTAGAACAAAGTCCCCCTTCTCAAAATTTGCAATCAGTAGAATATTGATCTAGCAATCAGTGCAAAGAAATCTCAAAGCCTCGACCAATGTTTGCACATCCCATTCCTGAGGTTCAGAGCTATTTTCAGGAAATACCAACTCTTATTAGCCCTTAGGGAATGTTGGAACCTGATGAGTTGTTGTTGGCCTGGACCTTGGAGAGGAGGCAAGCAAGAGGTCTGCACTCAATAATATTCATGGAAGAAATGTTGGCATCAAGAGAAAGCATCACATCTGGAGGGAGTCAGAGGAGCTAAGAGGAATTAAATGCACTTAGCACCATGGGGTTGATTTCAACAAATTTGATTTTTTTTCCCTGGAAGGGGATGTGAAATACAAATGCGTTTGAATCAGTTGCAATCAAACATATGCAAATTTACTGAAGCACTCCCTTTAAAAAAACTATTTAAAGACATCGTTGAAATCAGCTGGATTTATTTTTATTTTCATTTCTCACGACGCAGAGATAGCCAGGTTTCTTCGTACCACACAAAAACTAGCATTTTACTGGAGCTGTTATCTACAATTCCCTAATGCTGACCTACTTACATTTAAATTGGGCTACAGGGCTAACACGGCACTATCCACAAACTACTTGTCAGCTTCCCCCCACCCCAGAGCTAAGGGCAACTGCTGTGCCTCTCCTAGAGCTGGAATTGAACCCAAATCAATCAACCCAAACCCAGTTATGTCAAAGTTGATCAAATTCCTTTGCTAATGAACAGATTGTCAGTTTGCAGCCCAATCCTAAATACTTTTATTCAGAGGTGTGCCCTCCTTGAGTTCAGCAGAACTTATTTCCAGGTAAGGATACTGAGGGTTGTAGCAGCTGTCCTTTCACATTAAAATCACACTGGCACCATTGAGAGCTGCATTATCTCTGTACAGTGGCACCTCGGGTTACATACGTTTCAGGTTACAGACTCCACTAACCCAGAAATATTACCTCGAGTTAAGAATTTTGCTTCAGTACGAGAACAGAAATTGTGCAGCAGCGGTGCAGCAGCAGCAGGAGGCCCCATTAGCTAAAGTGGTGCTTCAGGTTAAGAACAGTTTCAGGTTAAGAATGGACCTCCAGAATGAATTAAGTTCTTAACCCGAGGTACCACTGTATTCTGAAAAGCCATTTGACCATGTGACTAAAAAATGCCTGCAGACACATACCATCTTTTGAAGGCTTCCTGCAACAGAGGTTTCCCTTATTTCAGTCATGTAACTTGGTCCACCAGGGACGTGGGTGGCGCTGTGGGTTAAACCACAGAGCCTAGGACTTGCCGATCAGAAGGTCGGCGGTTCGAGTCCCCGTGACAGGGTGAGCTACTGTTGCTCAGTCCCTGCTCCTGCCAACCTAGCAGTTCAAAAGCACATCAAAGTGCAAGTAGATAAATAGGTATGCCCGGCGGGAAGGTAAACGGCGTTTCCGTGCACTGCTCTGGTTCGCCAGAAGCGGCTTAGTCATGCTGGCCACATGACCCGGAAGCTGTACGCCGGCTCCCTCAGCCAATAAAGCGAGATGAGCGCCGCAACCCCAGAGTCGGCCACAACTGGACCTAATGGGCAGGGGTCCCTTTACCTTTTTAACTTGGTGCACGGGCACCTGTTGCTGCAAAAGGGAATGTCGAAAATTGGCCTTTGGGGTGCAATCCTGTACACATTGTATCTGGGAATATAAGCCCCCACAAGAATTTAGGGCTTACATCGGAGTGCCCTGAGCTGCACGAAGAGCAGCTGCAATTTGTTTGTTTTTAGCCATTTCTGTCTTGAGAGGTAAGCGCCTTTGATACAGCCCCGTTCAGAACGCACGACGGTAGGATTCCATTCCGACCCCGAGAGGGCGCTCTATATAGCTTTAGGCGTGAACCTCGGAGCCGTGGAAGCGAGGGTCACAGAGTTGGAGTCCTAGAGCGGGAGCCCCTTTCTTCCTGCGGATCGCTTCCGCCCTCGAGCCGTGGCCTGAGTTCCGGTTCCGCGTGAGTTGTGCGCGCGCGTGCGCTTTCGGCTGCAGGAGGGTCTGGTGGAAGGTTTGCCTTTCGCGGGCGGCGGGGCTCTCGAGGCGGCGCAGGGGGGGGGTGGGAGAGGGCGGCGTGTGCGGCCTCCCCTTTTCTCTCCACGCGCTTCTCCATAGGACGTGGAGCTTAGCCTTAATAAATGGCCGGACCTGGGTTCGAATTCCGCACTCGGCCATTATGCTAACCTGGGGTGGCCGTAGCGGGGCCGGACGCTACCTCTCTCAGCCCAACCTAACCTACCTCGCAGGGTTGTCGTGGGGATTGGGGGAGAAGGGGGAGAGCCATGTATGCCACCTCGAATTCCTTGTTGGAGAAAAGGGGTATAAATGCAGTAAATTAATATTATCGCCTTCCCCGCCCCCGCGCCAAAATAGTCTTTTCTTCATTGCATTACTCCTACAGTTAACAGTATGCGGGAGTTTACTTCCCAGGGGTGCCCATTTGGACTTTCACCAAACTGCCTTGCCTCTCGTAAATTGATTAGTGGCAGCATGTAGGTCTTCTGCTCTTGTGGGTATGAATGTAAAAAGATTGGGCCCAATCGCCCATCTGGTCCAACTGGCAGCGGCCAGCAAGATGCCTTTGGGAAACTTGCAAACAAGACCTGAGCACAGGAGCGCTTCTATGATTTCCAGCAGCTGGGACTCAGAAGCATTACTGCCTGGGATGGTGAAGGTGAAATTTTTATTGGAACATGTATTTATGTATGGGTCTGTCTGCTTTACTTGATTTTGGGTGCAGTGATGACTTACCTGAAAGAGCGCCATTAAGGGAGCTAAAAAGGAAATACAACATGGAGTCAGTGATGACTCTTTCTGGAGTAAAGGTTTTAAGAAGGGGACTTGAGAAAATGCAGCAGAGTAGGTGGGAAGTCCCATGGCTCCAGATAACAGGGAGATTGTAGAAATTGAGTACTTGGAAAGTAAAGGGAGTTGGGTGGTATGGCTGGGAATTGGGTCGTACCACTTGCTCCACCTTTCTGTCTTTGGTCTTCTGGCGGAAGCCAAATTTTAGGGGAAGTAAGAGGTTTTGAACTTGGTAGAAGATACTTAGAGGATAAAAATCCAGTTGAGAAAGCAAGACAGTGGGAATTATGTATGCAAGTAATTCTTAAATCATAATATTCAATATTTGACATTCATTGAAGAAATAATAACCTATTATGGGAAGGACCAAGATACTTTTAATGGATCCAGATTACATAAAGTGGTTCCCTCTCAGACGAATCCTGTCACACAGGTGGACCCAAACAGGCTTCCTGAACCTCGGCCCTTCAGATGTTTTGAGACTACAATTACCATCATCTTTGACCACTGGTCCTGCTAGCTGGGGTCATGGGAGTTGTAGGCCAAAAACATTTGGAGGGCCAAGATTGAGGAAGCCTGTTTTAGAATATTGAGTGAGTGGGCCCTTCACCCTTGGTAATGGAAAGGAAACAATCTGTATACTGTACTTTTTATTATTGGTGCTTTAATTCCTAAAAGGTAAATATTTTTGTCAATGTTCATGCTTTGCTCATACTGCAACTTTCTTTATATGTAGTAGTGGAACCATCCCCAAGATAAAAGCTATTTGCATTTGGACAAGTTGACTACCATTTTGGAAGTACTGCGTTTTCCACCCCCTTGAGGTAAGACATTTGTTGTGGTAAGAAGGAGGTTTGTTTAAAAAAAAAACACCAAAATGAGTATTTGCTGCTTGGTATAAAGCCCATGGGCTGGGAAATGGTTGCTGCGTAGCTGGGCCTGCTGTGGTCCTGCCTTGTACCAGCTAGCCTGACCTTGCCCTAGATGAAAACCTGGCAGCCTCCTTTTTGGGGTCTGCCCTGTGCAGTAACAGGTGTGAGCATTCTAGCAGCAGCTTGATGGTCATGTATGATACTGCATACAGATCTGTTGCGACATGCAGAGAAAACCCAGACTGCATTCTGTTCTGTCAAGTGTCTAATTAAGGGTGGAGGCAAAACTGAGTAACTGCTGGATTTTATATTCCCAAAAATTGAGGGAGGGAGGAGACAGGCATCCATTATGTGTTCATTCATCTCGGCAGCCTTTGGTTCAACCTGAAACTTGCATAGTGCCTGACATAACATCATTTGAATGTCTGCTACCTCTTCCCATATTCCATCTAAAGATTGTAATGTAGATTCCATGGCTTCACGATCAGAAAACTTTTTCTTACTTTCCCTTTCCCCCCTACCCACTTTATTTATCATGTAGCCCAGGGATAGACAACATGGTGTTCTCCAGATGCTGTTCTGATCTTCAGCTCACATCATTCCTGGCCTTTGGCCATGCTGGTTGGCACTGATGGGAGTTGGGAGTCCAACAATATCTGCAGGGCACCAGCTTGGTTATCTATGATCTGCAGACCAGGGGTCGGCAACCTAAGGCCAATGGGCCGGAAGCAGACCACGGAGGCCATTTAACAAGCACATGAGCCGAGCTGCCTGCTCGGTGAGTCCCCATGCGCTGCACTAAACCAGCGCAGTGCAGGGACTCTCTTCCGCGGCTCCAGAAATCGCTTCTGCGCATACCCAGATGCTGGAAATTGCTTCTGCGCAGGCGCGATTTCCAGTGTCTGGGCATGCGCAGAAGCGATTTCTGGTGTCACACTGTGCCGGCCCGGTCCATGGAGGATCTCCATGGGAGTGATCCTGCCCATGCCCAGTAAGCCTTGCTGACCTCTGCTCTAGACTGATGAAGAATTCTTGCAAACTTGAAAGTTGGCATGCAATTTGTGACATTCTGATGGCTGAAAAAATATATGAAACCTGATTCAGATTTTTGAATTTGTCTAATAGAGTTATTCATGTAATTGACTTTTCGAGCCCTGCTGCCCAGGTCTAGTTCGAGCGGAAGGTTGAGAAAGAAATGCAATTAATAAATTAAATTAAAGGGCATAGACATATTGCTTGTGGTATCTAACCTAGTCTCTAACTTCCACATTCTACTTGGTCCTGGGTGTGTGGCATTGATTTGTCACACTGTTTAAATTCTGTAGCTGTTTAAATTGTTATAGGGCCACCATTGCTAGATATGGTGTGTCTGAAAGATGCAAGCAACCATCCTGTGATATGAAGTCTGTTTGTTTCCTGACAATTCTTGATACCAGGGTGGGCCCTTTTAAATTCCAATGATCGTCATGCTAAATAGCGAAGCAGAGTTCTAATATGCCTGTAGCTGATCTATTAAACATTTCATTTAAAAGTTTAGAAACATCTTCTTGTACAATGAACTTTGATCATATTAAAAATGACACCATGACAGTGACTATCAAATATATCTTGTAGGTACTGATGGACCAAAAACAGTACAGAAAAAGGATTCTCATAGGTAAGTATGACTTATTTGAGATCTACCTTAGAGGCATGCAAGGGGACCTGTTGCGTATTAGGCCATATGCTAGACCTACAAATTGTATATTTCTATTGTACAGTAGGCCTTGGAGAGGGAAAAAGATTCACTAGGGACACCAGATCTCATTTGTGCATTGTCACATGCCTTATTGGTCCCTCTGTGTGTTCTTGTTTTTATTAATTAGCAAGCCATTGTGCCTCTCATCAGTGGAAGCTCAGTGCTTGAAATATGCCTGCTTTAATAATTTGTCCTAATATTCCATACTTAGCAGAAGCCACTGTCCCTGTCATTTTAAAACATGACTTGGAATGTCTTCTTACTTACATTTCAAAATAAACTTTGTGTAACTTAAAGAGTAAATCAGCCAGCAGCAAATACATTTTGAGTATACAGAATAGGTGTTGGGATTATTGCCTCATTTAAGGTTGCTGATTAATTCTCACAATGGGGAATTGCTGCAGCTGCTTGGTGGGCAGCAGTTCACCAGGTAAGGCGTCTGGAGGCCTGAAAACAGAGATAGGGAAAGCTTCAATGCCTGACTATCTGGGGTGCTCAGTGGACTGGGACCAACTGATAGAGAAATAAAAACCTGTCAATAGAAGTATTCCAAGCCTGAACATGAGAACTGCAACTATTGGCATGCTTTTCTAGTTGCTTTCTGCCCTCAAGGGGAGAAGATTGTGTTCTTTTGTGTTGCCTTCATCTCCTGTAGGCATGGAGCAGCTTGAGCTCTGCACTCTGTTATTCCACAGGTAGCGTATTAGTTTTGGTTACCTTTGTTCACAGAGTGCTAAACTATCAGGCCACCTTGGCACAGGGAGCCCTTGTGTGCAGTTTTGGAACTCCTCTGTAAAGGTGGCCGACATCATTCCCTCAAAGTTGCAACACTTAGGATCTGTCCCAAGAGTGTCTTTGAACTTTAAAAGCTGTACTCAGGCATCTCTTTCTCTGTACTTAAGTCTCATACCAGGCTGGGGAGCTTTAGGTTCAGGGTGGTATTCAGCTACATTTTACTCAGAGTAGACTAACCTGGTCGTGTTCATTTCAACGAGTAAAACTTAGTTGAACACAACTCTTAAATCCTCACCAAACCATGAAGCTCACTGAGTGATCTTGGGCTATTTGCTATCTCCCCTTAATTCACTACATACATGTGATGAATCATTGTTTTGGGCTTGTAAATTTCCAGCTATTAGGCAAGCATGGATCTGGGACATATTCAGAAATGCAGGGGATTGTGAGAAATGCAGGGGATTATTCACAAAGAAAACACTGGCAAATAAAGAGAATCTCCGGTTTTAATTCGGAAATAAGTGGCTCTTTTCTATTGGAGACTATGGGGAAACACTAGCTTCTGATTTTATGTCTGAAGCTTCTGACTTGACTTTTCCTTGCCATAATGACCATTATAACATTTACATTCCAGGTAAGTGCTGTTGGAAGAGCAGAGCTCAGGTTCCACAGAGGAAAGAGTTGTCAAAATTCCGTTTTGTTCTCGTGTGTCATTCTGGTTTGTGTAAAGTCGCTTCATTAAAATCAGATGTTCTATCCTAACTGTGGCTTGAGTGTTAATGTCCTGCAGAAGGCACACTTCTGAAAATATTTATTTTTGTCTACATGTTGCTAAAGAGAAATGCTCCTATCTTCATTATCCCTGCCTATATCCACTTTGTGATGTGGCATCTATCTGCATTCTCGAATTATTCTGGCTGTTGCATCCCTTTCTACCACTAGAGGGCGAAGAATTATGCAAAATGAAGGCTTATGTCTCCCTGGTGTCTTTTCTGGTGCAAACAAAAGGCTGCAATTACATTCCAGGAATTGTTGTCATAATAGATTACACAAGGGTGCAAGTTGTTCTATGGTGGTTGGTTTTTTTATTATTATTACAGTACTGAGCTTTTAGCAACCTACTTTAGAAAGCCTGGAAGAGCATATCTTTAGAAGCTTCCAACAATGCACTCTGCACAAATTCTCTGCATTGTGCATATATGAGCACATACATTGCTGTTTAATTCAAACTTCTGCTTGAGATCTAAAGTTATGAGAGCAGGAATGGGGGAGAAGGAGACAGAGGGGCAAGGTGTGCATAAGGGTAATAAAATTCTGTTTTGTTATAGTGTATCAACTTGTATCCACACACCCCTTTAGTTCTTGTGGTGCTGCATTATTTTAACGCTTTCTCCACAACTGAGAGATCTAGAAGCACACCTTATAAAGGCTTAGTTCCTCAGGATTGCAGAAAGCCCCAAACTTCAGACAATGAGTTTACAGTCTTCTTTTACAGAGCCATCATGCTCTGTAGCATATATGTGACGTTCATGACTATGTGGCAATGGTTTCAGAATATGAAACTATTATTATTTATTCAATTTATATACCACCCTTTATCAAAAGATCCCCGGGCAGTGTACATTAAAAACAAGAGTCTTGTGTGCATACATAGCCTAAAGAAGCACATTCTGCCAATAGTTTTCTTTTTCTTTTTTTATTAAAGATTTTGTTGATTTACAAAAGTGTGCAATGTCTCTCGTGTCCGTCCTCCCCCATGTAACATTTTTACGAATCAGTTTCATTTGTTGAGACATTAGGAAGAAAAGGGGGGAAGATGGGGGGGTCAGGTGGTGATGTTTCTATTTTACTTACTATATGTAAGGTTTGGTGTCAGGGTTGCTTGTGCAGGTTCTTTGCTGTTCGCTTGTGTTCCTTTGGTGGTGAGAGAGGTTGGGGTTGGCCTAGGGTGTGGTTATTCATTTGTGGTTAACTGTGGTGGTCTTTGTTTTTATGTGTGAGTGGGGTGGGTGGGCGTTTTGGATCAGGTTAGCCATATTGATTCGTATGCTGTTGGTGGATTTTTGTCGATGTCTTGTTGGGCTGTGTATGTGATAAAGGGGAGCCGTAAAGGCGTCTTCTTCTGTTTGTCCCCGTGTCAGTTTCAGTTTATTGGTTAATTTTTCTAGTATGGCTGTTTCCCATACTATTTGGTACCATTGGTCCATGCCTACTCCTGACAGGTCTCTCCAGTGTCTGGCTATGATGCTTCTGGCTGCTGAAAGTAGGTGGGTTATGAGTTCTTTGTGGTATAAGTGGGCATTATTGTATTCTGCCAATAGTTTTATTTGAGAGAAGAGAAGAGAATGGCTCAAGTGCATCTTCTCACTTAATATACGGTACTTGTACTTTGCATTATAGATATTCTATTAATAGCTCATCAGCTGTGGTCCCCACCCTAAAATTTGTAGCCACACTTAAACAAGCACAAAACTGCAAAAGCGGGGGTAATGCTACTAGAGCGTTACAAAAGCAAATTCCTTTGAATGCCCTTTGGCAGGGGAAGGGATTGTAGAGAAGCAAGGCAATTAAAGGAGGGGGGTCAGGTCATGGGAAGCTGCAGAAAAAGTCATTTGGGCTTTGGCACAATTTCATGTTTTCTACAATGGAGAGGTCTATAAACATAAATACTTCTGAATAAGTTATTGTGTGCTAAGCTCAGTTAATATGTCCCTGCGCTTGGCAATCCTGTTCACAGACTTCTGCAATGGTCATCAGCTTGAGCTGTCAACATAGCCTAGTACGTTGCACTTCATACTTGTGTAACCTTTATCCTGATCTGTAAATGCCATGTTGTGTCGGCAGGAGAAAATATCTGGCGTCTCTAGAAAGAAGAGTATTGGCTAATGGTAAGCGAGTCCTTAAGCTTTCTTAATTAAGCTAAACAGCTGGAATTGGGAAGGGCTCCTGTTACATAATCTCTCCATATGTTGTAATGGTCATTCTGGCATAAACTGTTGGGTGTGGGTGTAGCTCGCCTGAGCTAATCACATTTTTTCCCCTGTTGATAAAACAAATGTTGGGTGTGTTGAACACATTTGCGCCAAGGATCCTGTTCCTTAGGGCCATGCACAAACTTTGTTTTGAGGTCTTAAGTGAGCCTTGTCTGCCTGCAGTAACTTCTAATCCAGCCAGGAAGTCGGAATTCTTGTAACTTAAAAGGTGATTGACATTTGAAGTTGGGAGTATAACTGGAGCAGCTATATGGCTTCTGCCTAACCAAAGACTACGTGGACATGGGGAAGAACCTTTTTAGCCTTGCCTAAGTGATTCCTGTGTGCACATCTAACTGAGTAGTGAGGAGAAGCAGCAGGTGCCATACAAAAGAACGGTGGCTCCTATAACACTGCAAGAAAGTGGACCTTTGGTTGGCAAAAGGCAGGTCCCATTATCCCAGACTATTGGTCATGCTAGCAGGGGCTGATAGGAGCTTCCACCCAACAGTGTCTAGATGGCACCTTGTTGGCTGCAGTTGACCTGCTCACTAGGTTTTTGTAGCTGTGCTATGTTAGTAAGCCAGGTGGTGACTACTGAGTAAGAGAAGGGAAATTAGGGTCTTTTCACTCATTCAGAGAAGGGGAAACGAGACAATGGACCTTATATTTATTTTGACCCCCCCCCCCGCCCGCGGCTGCCTTTCCAGGGCAGAAAAGCCTCCTCAAGGTGGTTTACAGAAATAGGACAAAACAACTTTTAAATGTGTGGTTTTAAAAACTAAAATGGCAGCATGAAATGGTTCAAAGCCAAACCAGCCAACCACAAGAAAGAAAGATGAAATACAGTGGTACCTCAGGTTACACACGCTTCAGGTTACAGACTCCACTAACCCAGAAATATTACCTCGGGTTAAGAACTTTGCTTCAGGATGAGAACAGAAATCGTGCTCCGGCGGTGCGGCGGCAGCAGGAGGCCCCATTAGCTAAAGTGGTGCTTCAGGTTAAGAACAGTTTCAGGTTAAGAATGGACCTCCGGAACGAATTAAGTACATAACCAGAGGTACCAGTGTACTATCAGCAGCAGCTGAAAAATCCAAGCTGGTGTCAATTCATTAAAAGCACATTGGAAGGTCCTGGTTTAAAATGGCTAAAGAGGCGGACGAAACAGACGCCCTGTGTGAGTGAGTTCAACGACAGGGCCACCACTGA